GCCGGGGCAGTAATGGCTGATGCTGTGCAGGAACGCACATGGCCTACTGTGCTGGTTGCGCCTGCGGCGGAGCTGTGTAGTGTTGGAAGGCTGCTTGTCTCACGGGAGAGAGCACTTGTGGATGCTGTGGTTGAGGCGGGAGCGTACACGGTACTACTAGACTGGGAGGTAGGGGTGGGAGGTACCCCCGAAGAGGTGGGAGAAGCTGAGGCTATGCTCCCGTCGCTCACTTCCGTGGTGCGCGTTGTTCTCAAGCTATGGGTCCCCCCGGGGAGAGCAGTTGGGGAAAAGACGCCTGTGGTAGCCTCACTCACCCCCGAAGTGGTCTGTGTAGAGGTGCTGTGTGGGGGTGCATGGGTGTGTGCAGTGCGTGTCGGGCTGGGCGTGGTTGGGGAGACGTGAGCTTCCGCCGAGGCAGTAATGGCAGATGCTGTGCTGGAACTCACATGGCCTACTGTGCTGGTTGCGCCTGCGGCGGAGCTGTGTAGTGTTGGAAGGCTGCTTGTCTCACGCGAGAGAGCACTTGTGGATGCTGTGGTTGAGGTGGGAGCGTGCACGGTACTACTAGCCTGTGAGGGAGGGTTGGTTGTTACCCCCGAGGAGGTGGTAGAAGGTGACTCTATGCTGCCGTCGCTCTCTGCCATGGTGGGCATTGTTCTCAAGCTATGCGTTCCCCCGGGGAGAGCACTTGGGGAAAAGACGCCTGTGGTAGCCTCACTCACCCCCGAAGTGGTCTGTGTAGAGGTGCTGTGTGGGGGTGCATGGGTGTGTGCAGTGCGTGTCGGGCTGGGCGTGGTTGGGGAGAGTTCTGCTTCCGCCGAGGCAGTACTGGCGGATGCTGTAGCAGAACTCACATGGTCTACTGTGAATGTTGCGCTTGCGGGGGAGCTGTGTCGAGTTGGAAGGCTGCTTGTCTCACGGGAAAGAGCACTTGTGGATGCTGTGGTTGAGGCGGGAGCGTGCACGGTACTACTAGTCTGTGAGCGAGGGCTGGGTGTTACCCCAGAAGAGGTGGTAGAAGCTGAGGCTACGCTGCCATCGCTCTCTTCTGTGGTGGGGGTTGTTCTCAAGCTATGCGTTCCCCCGGGGAGAGCACTTGGGGAAAGGATGCTTGTAGTACCCTCA